TAAATAAATAAATAAATAAATAAATAAATAAATAAATAAATAAATAAATAAATAAATAAATAAATAAATAAATAAATAAATACTTGTGCCTGGACAATTTAGATTCTATTCTTTCTTCTAGAATGACTAATGTAAAATATTCAAGGGTGTTATGCTGAAGTCATCCAAAGCATTATTTCCTTTAGTTTCTGTTAAAATGCCTATTTTATAGATGACTGGATCGAGAAGACATGGATATACCTACACAATGGAATACTACTCAGCAGTCAAAAGAGATAAACTCATGCCATTTGAGGCAACATGGATGGAGCTGGAAGGGATGATTCTCAGTGAAATAAGTTGGAAGAAAAAATAAAAATATCATATGCTTATACACACAGGAGGAATACAGGGGACCAAATAAGGGATCAAGGAAAAAATTAATAACAATAAAAAACCCAACAAAGCAAAACAAAAATAAATAGACAAGTATAAATCAGAGACATTCTGCAACGGGGGGAGAGGAATCGAGACAAGAGCAGGAATTACACAAGAGACTATGGTGGTGCTGCGCAGTGAACTGGAAGTAGAAATTCTATGGAGACTATTCCTGAGAACAGAAAGTAAACATTGGAAAAAGAAAAAAAAAAAGAACAATGTTAAATATATAAAAATAAATAATTTTTAATCACCTATTTTTGCACTTGGAGACATTTCCTAAACCAAATACCTTTTCAGTGAGCAATAGGAGCAGAATAGGGAGAATACCAATCCACCTACAGTTTGAATTCTAAAAGAAAGACTTCTGGAAGTTATCAAAACTGAGATCGGGTGGTAAGACACAAAGCTGGAATTCCTCAAAGGAAGGTAAGCCTCTCCCTCTCTTCTAATTCACCTCCTTTATTCTTTCTTTTAATGTTACAGAGCACCATCACCCAGCTCCTCTAAAGGTTTGAGAAGAGTGGGAAAGAAATCAATCTGCCCCTTGAGCTTCTGGAACAGATTAACCTACTGTATTGCCACGGCACTGGAAGGGAGAGAGACAAGGTAGTACACAAAACGCCCAACATGTGCTTTAATAGACCCAGTGCTCTAAAAGTTAACACATGATTAAAAAATTAGAAATGAAAGGACCACACTCCATTCATTTCTACTACCTGTACTGCATGCTCTTTTATAAACATTCCTCTCCACTACGCTTTCCTCGGCTAGACTAAAAAGTTCCTGGAGGCTATCAACCTCATTTATAGAGACATAAACACAGATGTAACTCTTCTGTAGCACCAAATTGCCTGCCACACCAATTACACAATGTTTGCTCAGGAAATGTTACTGACCAATGAATGGCTAAACACTTAACTATTTTTCTTCCCTTCAATATTTTTCAGGAGTGCTTATTATTCACAAAACTATGCAGTCCTGGAAGCCAAGAGGAAATATCCATCTATTGGTATACATTTTCCCTTGGCTATGCATTAAACAGAGATTTCCTCTGGAAATGTGAACAAAGGATGCCTGATGAGACAGAACAAAGAACTATATATAGAGATCAAGTGCACAGCATAGAAAGTCAAAGCATGCCCTATCTTTACCAGATTAAAGGAGTGTTGGGTCTGCCTCTACTTCCCTCCCATGCTCTCCAACCTTGACCAGACGTACTCTCCATCTCCTTATCCACTGAATTCTGAAGCTGGGCAGCAACTACAGTCTGCTGTGTTTCCACAGAATTCAGCTTACACATCTGTGGTGATCCTAATCTCTGTTTCTGTAATAATAGGAAGACTGCAGCTTTGTTTACATTCTAAGGAGGATAGAGAACAGGGAGAAAGAACTAGAAGAGGGAGGCAGTATTTATGGCCCCTTTCATGAAGTCAATCTGTGACAAAAACATTTGCAGACAATAAGGAAGGGGAACAGGTTTGGCAGGAAAATAGCCTATTCCAGTTTTCTCAGAAGTGCCTTTGCTGGTATCCTCCACCCCCGCCCAACGTGAAGGGCCTGATTTACACTGTGAACATAGTTATCCTATAGACCTATCTGGATTAGATAAAATGAGAAAAACACCCAAATCACCCTTCAGTGTCTGACTCCCATGACTGACAGTATCCTACCATTTATTTAATTTTATAAAGTATTTACAAGTATTTATGTTGTCTCAAGCCCCTTCTTTAACTGCATTTCTAATCCTGGAGCTTGTCTTAAAGGCTTTTAGACATATAGACTCTGTGTTGAATGAGTATAATAAGTACCCTGGGTTCACCCTATTATTATGGGGAAGTTAAGGGCACATCTCTACCTTTCAGATGAGATGATGTCATAGAGAACAGCCATGGTCCTCCATAAATCATCCTGTAGAATCCCTATGGGAGACAGAATCTCAAACTGAATAGACTCTGCAGCTAACCCCCAAAATACACTGACCTTTGACGCGTAATGCAGTGTCTCACAATTCTTCCCCAATTCTCACTTAGCATTCTAATTCTATATAGTTCCATATGGGTATCTAGGTCAGCATAGATGTATGTAGCATGTAACCCTCACAGAGTAGATACCATGCATATGCTATTTTCACTGTACCTGGTACAATGTCATACATAAATATTAGTTAAAGGTGAGCTTTTGTATAGCCAGAGCAGACAGTGGCCTACAAAATAGAATTTAATAAGCATCCCTAAGGGAGCCTCTTAAACACCTCCTTTGCTGCTTCATCATAGGACTGGCTCCTCCCTCATACTTTGCTTTTTAATTTGGTGGATCTAGTGTCATCTCCGTAAGGATCAGGCAGGAATACCAGCTTCAGAAAGGCACTTCTTTATGAGACAAGTTCCTTGCCATTTGAAAAAAGTAAGGCCCAGAATATAAAGGTTTGATTGGTGCAGTGGGTTGGAAAAGGTAGGAATGGAGCTGTCTGAGTGAGGCTGGCCCAAGTGACAAACTTCCCAGAGGCAAGATGATAAGTTATTAAGAGTCCCTAAAGTGAATAAGCAATGAAAATAAACTGCTTACTTTGCAATATATACTACAACTTGCTCTGCATTTAATAGTCTTTTTAATGAGGACGAGGAAGGCTGTGACTACAATTCTAACCATCGTTTTATTCCCTATTAGTTGTTACCCCACCCTCAACCATGCAAATTCTAAACCAAGAGATTCCTTATCTTGTCCTATGCTTACAATACTCCCTTGTCTCTTCACTAGTGTTGATTTTTATAATATAATCTAAAGACATAATCAGAAGCTTTGATAGAGTAAGACACAGAGGGGTTTTGACTAACTAAAATCCACTCTAAACTGCCTTCTGTTTTGTTTCTCCTCTGTAATAAAGTATGAGGCAAGAATAAGATGGGGACAAAGAAAGTAGCCATTCACAGAATTGTGACCTATGAAATCTGGAAGAGATACTGAATATCAGGTAGCCAGCTAAACCCCTTATTTTATAAGGATGTTGAAACTGAGGTTGATTCCACTTGTAAGCACGACACAGAAGTCTGTCGTAGGTAAGAACTGTAGAAAACTTTTTACTTGTATAACTTTATCATTCACAGACCATTTTGAAATAGATAACATTTTCTAATGACAAAAATAATTAGAAAGGTGATGAATGAAGAATAGGTAAGTTACATGGGGACAAAGAAATTAGGAAGAGTAGAAGCAATATTATGGTTACAATATTGCATTGAATAAAATTTTCTCTCCCCAAGAATCCAAAACTCCGACTTCCTTATGACATCCCAACAATCACTTAAGGAACTATAATGCCCAGTTTGATGAATAAAGAAACACACTTCATGTCTGATATTGCCTGCTGTATGGAAAGGAGATACCGATTGTCCTTAGACTGCTATCACCCTCCCACCACAACCCATCAATACCACCTGTTTACTTAAAAAGTTGTTATCTGCCACTTTTCCTGGAGCAAGCATCCTAAATAAGCGAAACTTCCTGGAACTACCATTCATGCATCATTCCAAATGGCTGAGCTACACTCCAACAAAAATCAAATCTCTCCAAAGGATCACCCAATCCAAGTCCTCTGAAAGTCCAAAATTTTCCCATTACTTACCTCAACCTGCTGACAGATCTGTATTAGTTTGGCCATCTGATTTTCTAGTTCACTGTTGCGCTTAACCAGGTTGGTGAGATTCATCTCCAGAGTTTGCTGCCATGGCAGAGTGTGAAGGCAGTAGGAAACCGGAAGGAAGAGAAAAAAAAGAAATGCTCGATGAACTTGAGAGCCAAGAGTACATGGAGATCTGTCTGTTGACAAATATTCCAGATTCACTGAGTACTTGCAATGGGTTAAGCACTATCTAGTGTTAATTAGTAATGCTTATACTTATTCAGCACTATCACTATTGAGGAAAAGATAATAGCTATGACTTTGTGGATGTAGAAATTCATTGACATTAAAGCACGGTTATGATTTCTATAATATTTTTAACTTTTTTTTTTAAAGATTTATTTATTTATGCATACAGAAATGGGGAACAGGCCAGAAGTGCAGGGGCGGTGAGAGGATTCACCAGAGACAGTGGGGAGCAGAACAGGCAGATCGGAGCAGCGGGCTGGTCAGCAGAGGTCTGACAAGCCATGTGGAATCACCTCCGGGGCAGGCGGGGATGGAACTCATGCGGAAGTGGCTTTAGCTTCTTAGTGCTGTGCTTTAACCCGCTGCGCAACCAGGGAGGGCCCAGTATTTTTACCTTTTAAAGTCCAGGTTTCCCTACTATCTTAGAGAACATCTATAATTCAAAAAGGTATAAAGTGAGGAAGCAATTGCCATTAGTTTGTATGGAAAATTGTTTCAGTGTTCCAAGACCCGAAAATAATCTAGCAAATCATACTAAATAGCACCATAAAAGTTAAAGCAACACAACATGTAGTAAAAGCAGGAATGATGTGACCAATGCACAACCTGTATACCTACTTCCTGGGGGAGGAATTCGGCAGCTGCCACTCTCTGCACAGGGTGCAGGCTGCCTCGAGAGTTGTTGCTCCAAGGCCACACTGAACACTACTTTCACTCTTCATCTTTTTTCTAAAAAATTAAGTCGATACCCATATTTCTGTACATTATTTTGCTCTCATAGTAATCCTGTGACATCTGTAGAAGAGATGCTCTTCTCTTTTTGATCAATCATTACTTTTCAGACACCCTACTTGGCAATTTCTCATATATCATTCAATAATCATAATGAATGATGACGTAGGGGATGTCAGTATTTTACAGATGAGAGACCCAAGTTTCAGAATGGGGACAGAGTTTTGCAAAATCTTATAATTAGTATGCAGCAAAAACAAGACTGGAACCTCTAGGCTTCAGTAACAGCTGTGCCCCAGTATTCTGTGATTTTTGTTCTTTTCGTTGATAACATTTTACATTTATGAATAGGTTCTTTTAGAAAAAAAAAAAAGATGATTTTTTAAAATGTGGGATTCATCAAAATCTAGCATTGTACCTTGCAGCTTTTCTTCTTCGGCACTGAAGAATAGCCCAGAGAGCCGCCAAACACAAGTCTGGCTGTATCAACAGAAGACATCCAATGACAGAGCATTCTAGGCACACGTTACAAGTACTGTGCAAATCTGTTCAATATAAAGTGGTTACAACAGCACTCAGAACTCTTAGCATATTTTCAGTTGATTCTCATTCAAGCTCTCCAGAATCGCCTCCTCTTTCACTTACCATGCCAACACCTTCAAAAGTCTACTCCAGTCTAAGACCCCCCCAACTTTCTGGCCCTTATTCTGCTAGCATTCCTTCCCTTGGTCATGTGCACTGTTTGACTGCTCTTTCCAAAGCTCCCAATTTTTGGTTGGGAGGGAAGAAAGGGCATGAGGAATTGGGGGGAGGGGACAGAGAAGATGAGCCCATGGCCCCCTTCCCATCTACTAAGTGGCTGTGGCTCCTTAGTATCCTTGGCATTGTCCATGTGTCCATCCCAAAGCATGAATTCACATGCATAATTGTATTTCTAGGACAGGTAGTCAGATTTATTTGTTCTCAGTCCGACTAGATTAGAAAACCAGCTTAACCTCTACTTCCCTTCTAAACAGATCTTTTGGTTTATTTAGCTTTATGCCCATGGAAGTAATTTTTTGCCATTTTTTTTTCCTCTTTTATTTTTTGGTTTTCTTTTTTGGCTTGTCCAGTGCAGAACTCCACTGGAATTCGTTAACTGCAGGGAATGTCTCAAACCTGTCAACTCCTCCTTAGTAACAACACAAGGAAGAAGGAAAAAAGAAAGGCAGCAATCATTTATTTATTTGGCCGTGATCTCTAAGCTAAGTGGATGTCAGGATGGAGGAAAGAAATAGCAGTCCAGAGATTTAATACAACAGAAGGTATTGATCATCTATACTGTTCAGAGTGCAGTGACCGCAGAGACAAGAGAGGAGGTGAAATTATAGTGGGTCTTGATGGATAAGTAGGATTTTAATAGAGACGGAAGGGGCAGGATGTTTCAGGCACAAGGAATAGCATGAGCAAAAGTTAATATAAGGGAATAATATATAGAACGAGTTCAGGAAACAGAAGCTGTGTTTGGTTAGAACAGAGGGTACAAGAGAGCATGTGTTAGTACTGGGGTGCAAAGCCAAAAATGGAGATTGAGGCCCTATTATATCCTGAATACTCAGGTGTGGAGTTTGTAACATATTTTTAAGCAGTAGGAGCTTACCAAAGACTTTTGAGGAGGTGTAATGGCATAATCAGGGCTGAATTTAGGAGATTAACCTCCCAGCAATATGTGGAGCACTGAAACAAGAGAACACTGGGGCAGTGACTTTAGCTTGAAGGAGGCTGCAATATATTCAAGGCAGTTTGTAATGCAGGTCTGGGCCAAGCTAAGAAGACAATCAAGAAAAATATGTTTCAAGAAAAGATTTGTCACTGTCAAATATGCAGAGTGTGCAAGAAAAATGAGCACTGGTAAAAGGCAGTTGAATTTGGTAATCAGAAGTCACTGGTGCTCTTTGAAAAAGGAGTTTACTTCAGCAGAGTTCTGGAAGCAGATGCCAAACCGTACAGGGTTAAGGAGAACATCAGTAGGGACAAAGCAGAGACTACAAGCCTAAGCTCCTCTTCAAATATGTGAATGCGAAATGAATCTGACAGTTTTCTTTGGTTGGAAGCATCCAGCTTAAATTAGAGAGTGAATATAGGCAATGGACCCAATCAGCTAGAGACTTCCTCTGGCAGAATGGTCCAAATTCCTACTTCACTAAAAATCCCAGGTACCACAGATGACTGCATTGACATTAGGTAAACATAATGTAGACTGAGGAACCAGAGCAAATACTATGTTAGATATCCATGTTTCAAACTAATGTGTTTTCATCCAAACATAGGATTCCATGAATAGAATGTTTTCTAACAAGTACATGCAACCTGTTGCAACACTTGTCATGAAACTGATATTTCATAAACAATTCACGGTGCAGAGCAGGACTAAGATTCCTGCTGTGTGTTCCTCATTTATGGCCTAGAACTGAGACTTACAGCTTCTAGGAAGCCACCAAAAAAAAATTAAGGTTGCACACAAAATCTGGAGTCTAGTTACACCATGGACTGTGTGGTTACCACCAAAAAGATATGGCAAGTGGTTATTTTGTTCAAGTCCCCTAGCAATTTGTAAAATGTCAGCACAATTTATCAACACAGAACTAGAACTGACAAGATGACTCTAATTTCAACCTTAGTTCATTAATATGAAAATGCTTTGAAAAATAAATCTTTGGCTAATGAAAACACCATCTGTTGATGGCTTTTTGCCACTGTTTTTCTTACGAGACATAATTTGAGGAAAACACTGAACATTTACTTACTCACTTCCTATTCATTTACAAGGAATTAAAGCCTCCTCTCAAACTGGAATTGATTCTCAATAGTGAACATATGCAAAAGGAATCAGAGAAATGAAGCAATTATGCAATCTGTTTCTGCACCGTTCCTTATCATGCCTATCACCACAGACAAGTCATTTAGAACTGGAAATTCTGGGCCACTCTAGGTTTGAATGATTTCATTGATTTGGCCAAGTAATTATCTTGTCTATATATACTCTGGCTGAATAAACAAAGTGTGTGTGTGTGTGTGTGTGTGTGTGTGTGTGTGTATAAAATCTTCTAATGTAAAACTAAACATGTCTTTCTGTAGCTCTGTTGTTGTGGGTTTTGAAAAATTGGTTTGTTTTGTTCTTCTCTTCTGTAGTCCAGTTAATGAGTGGGCCAGACTCCCCCTGTCCAACCCTGGTTAGTGTAGCTTTCTCAGAACAGTTGAACCGTGACAGTGAGAGAGCCAAAGTGGCAGGGAGATTGGAATGGAGATATCTGTTAGGAGGAAATGGGGACAGGAGGTTGGCAGGGGGAGCAGGATGAAGCTCCCATTTCCTGCTGCAGGAGGTTACCTCTGGGTCCCTCTCTGCTTCCCCTGTGTGAGAGTTAGAGAGCCATTTGAGCTCTGAAACTGTGAGGCCCTCTTCATCTCCAGATGACTACATCATTAGAGCTCTCATAAAATTGGACATGTGTCTAAACAACACAAAGAGAGGGAAGATTTGGCTGATTTGCATAATTGAGATTTTAAAAGGCCTTAGTTAGCTAAACTGGCAGGCTACACTGATTCCATATTTTACCCAAGTTCCACTTCACTTGTGTCATGTAGATGCAGCCTCTTTGTGTTTTTATACCCTTCCCCAGAAGGAAAACATTTTGCTATTTCTGAGAAGCCAAGCATAGGCTATTCTTCTTCCAGACAGCATCCCATAAAAAAGAAAAGTCTTCTCTAACTGTCTCAAGTAATCGCTGGCTTTTTCTCCACTTCTCTAGATTCAGGTTATTTCAGGTAACTTTCTCACTTGCTCCCCCAAAAACCTAGTGGTCCCTTAAGCCACCTCTTTGTTAAATAGAGATTCCCGTATGGCACGCACTTGACCTTGATCCCCATTTGCCATGCTCCACTAAGACACGGAGATCCACTCACATATGACCCACACTGACACTATCTGACACAGCAAGCCCTGAAGCCTATAAAGGATGGTGCCTTTCTGTTCATGCTACTGAAATTTAGTACTGCCATCAAATGCCTGTATTCTCTCGCTTGCTGTAAGGTACCAGGGAAACAACCAATCCCCACTATTTGGAAGTGGGAATTGAACC